GCAAGTGTTTGGGAGGCTAGTAACAAGGAGGGAAATTTTAATAAGAATCAAACATGTTATGCTACTTTGGAGAGAGAGATGTTCAGTGGGGGGTTTAGTCCCACATCGGAAATGAGGAATTGGGAAGCTACAATACCTATAATAGGTGGTGAGTATGCGAAGCCATAACGCCTACAGAAAGTTGTACACTTTGATGTACTTTGCAGTGGCTCCACGTGAAGCCTAAACCCGAAAAGCGAGGTAGTCATGTGATGGACTCAACAAATAGTATATTTAATAAAGTTTGTATTTATATGAATTAATGTATTTATCTTGTGAAAAATTTGTCTTTTTGAAGTTAAGTGTTCAACCTACCTTCCCCTCCCCGGCCCACTTCCACTCCTAAAAAAAAAGAAAATTGTGTGCATTAAGCGTGGTTATGGTGGGACGAATCATGTGACTCGATGTCTGATTAATACATTTTGTCGAGGAATAAAATATTTATCAAATTTTAATTGACCATTTAGGCTTTTAGTTAATAAATATTCTAATTTTTTTCACGTAAAATCTATTTATGATTTCTTATCAACAACATTGGAATTTATTTGGTCTATAGTGTGGGTCTATGATTATCTCAATTATCTTATTTTTCAGAAGTTCATCGAGTTGAATATCAAAATCATTTATATCATTTTTTATATAAATCATTGGTTTGACCCTAATTAATTACAACATTAGGATCTCGTAATCTCAAACTACAATATCGAGGGATTAGATTCTATAGTTTTAGTGGGTCTCCACAAAAATTGCTTTCCAAAATCTTATAGTTTTGGAATTACAAATCATTTTTCATTTAACTAGATTTCTAGTTTCTTAACCTTAAGGCTAATTAATATTTCATTGTCATCTACCTCTTTAGCTAGCATAGAGCATTTCATAGTTATCCAGTTTTTTGGAGGTAAATCATTCCATCTACATGCACTTATAGTGACGTCAGTATCAATTAGAACCCTAAGACTATATGACTTATAATCAGCATAATTAAATTATCTTAATACATAAGTATATCGTCTCTTTTCATTGCTTGGTGACAAATTTTTTTTTCTCAACTGATATGAAAATTATAAAGTTTTTTGATTTTATATCTTATTTTTCTTTGCCTTTTAAGTACGAAGTTCCTAAGAGCACATGAATTTGTATAGATTTATAAGCAATAGGATTTAGAATTTGATGTTTTTCATATTTTTCTTGATAAGGTTCATAAAGAGCGAGCTGTGAGAATTTTTCCTAAATCGTCCTTATGAACCAAATTTGGAAAGGTATTTTGTCAATTCTGTACTTTGAGTTTATCAATCTCTAAAATGCATATTTTATTTTCTAGAGACTTGCATTTCAATAGGATCTGTTATCCTTATTGATGATTCTTCAATTAAATTATTTATCATCTATTATCTTAGAATTTCTAGATTTTTTCAATTAATTAACTGAGATTTTATTGCGGTATCAAAGACTCTTAGTTCAAATTTTTCCACAATTTCTTTGTTTAGTTTTTTTGGTAGAAGTTTGTGGTAACTTTGTTTATTCATGGAGGGTTTTTCCAACGAATTATTGTATCATTAAAATCAGATTTCATTTCCATGTTTTGAGCAAAAATTTAATTTTTACTGAATCTTCAAGCTTTGTTTCATTAATCAAAATAAAATAGTTAGGTTTAATATTAAATCAAATTTCTCCTGAAACTAAATTCGACTAGATTCCACCTATTATTACTTCTAATTGATTACTAAAGTGTTTGTCTAGGGCTTTACTTGTAAAAGAAAAGGCAACACAAAAACAGCATGGCCAAGCAAATGTAAAAATCCATTGCTCATAAGTAAATGACAAATTCCTGATTTGAAGGTACAGGAGGTCAAGGTGTAATAAGGCTATTGTAAATGAGCTGTGTTGGACTGGTGTTAAACAATGTGAGTTTTTTTTTTTTGGTTTGGGTAAAGGTTTTTGTTACTTTTTTTGGGTCTCTTTGGTTGTAAGTTAAAATTGAATGGACAAATTATGTAAAATTTTGATTGAAGAGTGACATATTTTTGTCATTGGCATGTTCATATTTTCATTGGAACCCATAAAAAGGTTTTGTTGCAATGTTTTTTATTTGTGTCTTATTTGATGTGTTGATGGATGTATTGCGACGTTGAATGTTTATTAGTTTTCTAGCATAGAATTAATATAATGCTACTAAATATGACATAAATTAAAGTAGTTAGCAAACTTGTTTTATGTTTTTTATTTTTAGAGTTTATTAAACAAAAACTGCAACCAAACAAGTTTTTTGTTTTAACTTTTTACAACAAAAAATAATAATTTTTTTTTTGTGTTTTTATATTTTTTGAAAACGAAAAATAGAAAACGTAAATAAAACCCAAGTGTACAATAATGCTTATAAATTGTCCAGTTCTGGCAGTGTGTCATATGCACAAACGTTGGAATACTTGTAAAATCTTTTTAAACCCTGTTTGAATGACGGTAATTTTAATTGAAAAGAGAGTTGCATTCTCAAATTTATGGATTGTCATTTTTGAATAGTAAATGAATCTGTAATTTAAATTGTGAATGAGATCCCCTATTAAAATTAAATTCCCAATGACACTGAGAATCCTAAACCCATGAAAATTGTATGTAATTTGATATCCAACTTGATTGAGCATTCCAAAAAAAGAATAAAAATCCAAAAATCTAGCTTCTTTTTGAAATTAAGGTCATTTCTAAATCAAGCTCCCTTTCGAAATTCACATATTTTTATAAAATAAAGTTCATTACAAAAAATAATCATGAAAAAAAATATTCAAATTAGTTCTAATATGAAACATTAAATAATAGATTACTTTGGTACTTGAAAAAAGGATATCTTTATATCAAGAACAGCATATTAATTTGTAATTAGAATTATTGTCATTCAAAAGAGACGTTAAAAATTATTGTGAAAATAAAAAAATAATCCTATACTTTTTAATAACAAATGTGTTCGGACTTCTTAGTACATCTCTCGGTTTCATGACACCCTTTCTCCCTCAAAATCATTAACTTCAGGACTCGTACTACATTAACTCTAAATACTTCGGAGTAAAATCCCATTCAATTTTACTATGGTTGAAGGATATTACAATTCTCTCTTGAATGGCTAGGATTTGTACATATCTTCAAATCACATGTTTTTAGAAAAAATTTAATTTGTTTAAGTTCAAATCAACTGAATTTGTTAATGTGTACAAATCTTGATCATTCAATAAAATAAAATAAAAATTAGGGAATTCTACAATTCTTTAGAATTTAAATAAGAGTCAAACTTAGGTCAAAGCATATCTTAAAAGCTAGGTCATAATATCCGCCTTCATTGTTGCTATGAAAATACCATAAACATATTATTAGGGATTTGCATTTCAAATAAGATTTCACTATATGCACTACATTGTTACTCCCAAAAGAGAGGAAAACAAAATCCCAATCAACTTTCCAATTGAAGCACCAAAGAAAAAGAAAAAAAAAAAAAAAAGGTTAAATGGGGCATAGAAGTTGGAAGTAGATTGAAATTCTGTAAAGAAGAAGGAAAAAGAAAGCAAGCAAGCTTATGTATTTGCCCAACATGAGTGTAAGATAAGATGAAAACAGAGAGAAAGGCATGTTTTTTACTTTAATTATGTTCTCCCTTCACCAAAAAGAGCATAGAAACCCCACTTTCTTTTGACTTTGAAATGGCTAATTGTGCCACGAATAAATCTAAGATACCCAAAAATAAAATGTGATTATCATGTCAAAAAATAGATTTTAGCTGCAGGTATTTTATATCTAAAAAATTATTTGGGTTAATAGTACTTTGGGTTTTTAAAGTATACACGTTTTGTTAGTTTGATCTTAAAAATATCAATTTTGTCAATTTTATTTTTAAAATATTCAATTCGTATTTAAAAGATCTCTACGTAGACGAATTGTTAAGTTTTTGATAGAATGATCACGTGTTATAGTCTGAAAGAATAACACGTAAACACTTCGATAAAAAACCTAATGAGTTATCTAATTATGAACTAAATTGACACGAATTAAAATTTTAAAAATTAAATTGACATAAAGACCAAACTAACAAAATAAAAATACTTTAAACAAAGTGCTGTTAACCCAAATTATTTTTCAGTGGTTACGGAACTCGGGTCAACCTGGCACCGAAAAGCTCATTTGCTCTATATTATCTAGAGAAGAAACCCAAGAAATCATCAAACTTGAAAGGAGAAAGAGGCTCAATAATCATAGTCAATGCAGAATCATTGAATTCAACCCTAATTGCTATCTCATAAGTTTGCCTACCAAAAATACCTTCAATCCGTGTCAATTATCAATTATGTAGCCAAAATTCTGACCACTCCACACTCTCAATTCTCTCTCTCTCTCTCTCTCTCTCTCTCTCTCTCTCTCTCTCTCTCTCTCTCTCTCATGCGTGTGTGTGAAACTTCCTTTGATTCAATCTAGGAATTACATTTAGTGTTAGGGGGTTATGTGGGAAATTTTGGCTCAATAGGACCTGCAAGGCCAAACAAGGTAAGCTCACTTTCTCTCCCTCTACAACTTCCAAAAACTCCAATCCTCTCAACAAACCCATTAACCGCCGGAATTAGCCATTCTCAACTAAGAAGTTTTTTACAGTGAGTTTTGGGGTTTTCTGAGCTCTAAATGACCAACCAAAAGTTGGCGGAAAAGGGTTGGTTGTTCTGTGAGTTTTGAGTTTCTTCTTATTCCAGTAGTTATCTTTCTTAAAACCCAAAAACTATTATTCACTGGGTAGCTGTGGTGGTGGTTATGGACTTAATGGTGTTGCAGAAGCCAGAAAAGCGTTGTCCAAAGTGGTCACAAAACGCTTCACGAGGCTCACAATGTTAGTATTGAAAGTCCCAGAAAGAGAGATTTTAACGTGATTAAGGGGGTTCTGGTACTGTTTCTTCCTTCTTTTTTTTCTCACTTTGAAGTCTTATCTCCAAATGGGTCTTGGCTTTTTTGGTTCTATTATAGTCTTGACGCTGTTCTTTAGGCCTTTGGTTTCTCAGAAACCCAATACTGATGGGTCCTTTGTCTATGATTTCTTTCAGAAGATGGATTTAACCTCTTCTAAAATCTACAACTTTTCTGCTCCTGTTTGTTTATGGCAAGGTGTATTTTGTGATGCTAAACAAGAGAATGTGATAGGGCTGATAGCTTCTGGTTTGGGTCTATCTGGTTTGATTCCAGATACCACTATTGGCAAACTTAGAGAGCTTCAATCTTTGGATCTTAGCAATAACAAAATCACTGGTCTTCCTTCTGATTTCTGGAGTTTGGGTTCACTCAAGACCCTTAATCTCTCATTTAACCAAATTTCTGGGAACCTCCCAAGCAACATAGGCAATTTTGGTCTTCTTCAAAGCTTGGACCTTTCTTTCAATAATTTCTCTGGTAATATCCCTGAAACTATGAGTTCTCTTGCCAATCTGCAACTTCTGAAATTCAATCAAAATGGGTTTAATTCAAGCATTCCACTGGGGATTCTGAAGTGCCATTCTTTGGTTTCCATTGATCTCTCGTCAAACAAGCTGAATGGCCCTCTTCCTGATGGTTTTGGTGCTGCATTTCCAAAGCTCAAATCTTTGAACCTTGCCTGCAATGAGATTTATGGAGAGGATATTGAGTTCTCGGGAATGATATCCATCAGGAATCTTAACATTTCGGGTAATCTGTTTCAGGGTTCTGTGGTTGGTGTTCTTCAAGGGTCATTGGAGGTGATTGATTTGAGCCAAAATCAGTTTCAAGGTCATATTTCTCACTTAAATTTCAGTTCCAACTTCAATTGGTCTCAATTAGCTTATCTGGACTTATCTGACAATCAACTTAGTGGAGTGTTTTTCAATAACTTGAATCAAGCCAAGAGTCTCAAACACCTCAATCTTGCACACAATAGATTTTCCAAGCAACAATTCCCCCAAATCAGTATGCTCTCTGGTTTAGAATATCTAAACCTTTCGGCAACTAATCTCAGTGGTCACATTCCCACTGAAATCTCACTATTAAGCAGTTTGAGAACAGTTGATCTATCCGAAAACAATCTCAGCAGCCACACCCCTCTTTTCAGTATTAAAAGCCTCCAACTTCTTGATGTTTCATACAACAATTTAAGTGGAGACATCCCCTTATCACTCCTAGAAAAACTCCCATGGATGGACAGTTTCAACTTCTCTTTCAACGCCTTAACCCTTTGTGCTTCAGAATTCTCGCCTGAAACCCTCCAGTCAGCTTTCATCGGGTCATTAAACAGTTGCCCAATTGCTGCAAACCTGGGTCTCTTCAAAAGAAAAGCTCCAAAGCATAGGGGTCTCAAGCTTGCCCTGGCTTTAACTTTCTCAATGATCTGTTTGCTTTTGGGGTTTCTATTTTTAGCCTTTGGTTGTCGAAGGAAAACAAGAATGTGGGCAGTGAAACGAACCTCTTCCAAAGAAGAACAATATGCTTCTGGGCCCTTTTCGTTCCGTACTGATTCAACCACTTGGGTAGCTGATGTTAAGCAAGCAGCATCTGTTCCAGTAGTAGTGTTTGAGAAGCCATTATTGAATTTCACATTTGCGGACCTCTTGTCTGCAACTTCACATTTTGATCGGGGCACTTTGTTGGCTGAAGGGAGGTTTGGGCTTGTTTATAGAGGATTTTTACCAGGTGGGATTCATGTGGCTGTTAAAGTCTTGGTCCATGGATCCACCATGACGGACCTGGAAGCTGCAAGAGAGCTCGAGTATCTTGGTTGTATCAAACACCCAAATCTTGTTCCATTGACTGGATACTGCTTGGCTGGTGAGCAAAGGATTGCCATTTATAATTATATGGAGAATGGAAATTTGCAGAATTTGCTTCATGATCTGCCACTCAGGGAAAAAAGTAAAGAAGATTGGAGGGCAGACACGTGGGAAGAAGATGACAATAATGGGATTCAAACCGTTGGGTCTGAAGGATTGTTGACAACTTGGAAATTTAGGCACAAAATTGCACTTGGTACTGCACGAGCATTAGCATTTCTCCACCATGGCTGCTCACCTCCAATTGTCCACAGAGATGTCAAAGCTAGCAGCATTTATCTTGATTCGAATTTGGAGCCCAGACTGTCTGGTTTTGGACTGGCAAAGATTTTTGGTAATGGTCTTGAGGATGAGAATGCTAATGTGTCACCAGCATATGTGCCACCTGAGTATCTTCAGGCAAAAACTGGCTCCCCAAGGGTCCCAACTCCAAAATCTGATGTTTATGGATTTGGGGTCATTCTTTTTGAGCTCATTACTGGGAAAAAGGCAATTGATGATTACCCAGAGGAAAGAAACGCGACTTTGGTCGGTTGGGTGAGAGGATTACTGAAGAAAAACCAGGGGTCAACAGCTATTGATCCAAAAATTCATGGGACAGGACCAGAGATCCAAATGGTGGAGGCTTTGAAGATTGGATATCTATGCACAGCTGACCTTCCATCAAAACGACCAAGTATGCAGCAGGTAGTTGGACTTCTCAAGGATATTGAACCAGATACACAACAATATATACAGTGAACAAAAAAAGTTAAAGTCTGGTTCTTTGAAGTTTTTCTTACTTATAATTTTCCTTGTATTTTGAGTGCTTTTTAAGCTGCTTTTTGGGGCTTGTACAGTAGTTCTGAGATTTTGTTTGAACACTTGCCATCTTTCTCTTTATATTACTCTTATTGATGGCACAGAAGCTTAATTTGTATACACACTTGATCTTGAAAAACAATGTTCTTCATACGTTTTTCGTTTGCTTCTTTTTTCTTCTATTGTTCTTTTTGTAATCAACAAAAACACTCACAAACTTGGCTTTATTTTTTATAGTAGTGAGGCAATGAATTCTGAATTTTGTTTATTGTGCTGATGTTTTGGAAACATTTTCGTTTCACAGATATTTGAGCAAGAATCACTTAGAAAAGCTTAAATATAGGGTTGATGGGGCGTTAGTTCTCTCAGATAGATTGATTCTTGCTTGTAGAGTTTGGAGACTTCAAGAGGGACAGCCTTCTTTTATTGTTAGCTTATGCATTCTAATGAAGTTAGGATTATAAATAGTAAACTTAGTGTACCTGGTGAAATGTCCTCTTCCCTTGTTACTCTCTATGTCGAAATTCAAATCTCAGTGTCACAATGATGATTTTTATCTAGGGATAGAACTAGGATTTTTGTCCCAAGGAGACCGAACGATGACAAGTTCAAGAATTTCATTTATGATTATTCGTCGAGTTATCATTAATAACACATATTTAGTCATACAATAACTATCAAAATTAATAGAAAATTAGTTTGGATCAGATATCATCATAAATAGTAATTTGTGAATAAAAAATTCCCAAAAATGACATTTGTCACCCAATTTTTCACTAATTTTATTAGTTTTTTCTTTTGTCAGACTCTTTTTTTTTTCAATCATATGGTCAGACTCCTTCCATCAACTAATTTGTCTGTAAGAACAATTCTCATCCATATAATTACATCCCTTTTGGGTATCTAGCTCACAATTATACAATTCCAACCTAGTCAAGATGCATAGATCATGTTCTTCACACTTCATGGGCTTCCTTGCCTCACCGGCCATTGCTGCATATTTCATACCTTTCTTTTGTTCATGGATAAATTACAGTTTACACCCTTGAAATATGCACCTAATTTATATTTGGTCATTTAAGTGTCAATTGCAACAATTTTAATTGTGTTTTAATTTAGTCCTTACATTGAAATTCACCATTTTATTCTAACTGAATGACCTTCCGTAACAAACATATGACTTGGCTAAAATAATTTTTTATAGAAATTTCGTGTATACTTTAAATTTATAAATCATAAATTACCATTTGTTCTATTTGTTGGGCAGAAATTGGGCGGGTCGGGCCTACCTAATCTGCTAGTCAACGGTTCAGGTACAATCCCAAAGAACTACAGTTCACGGACTGCCTATTGGGCGACCCTAAAGAACTTATTTTCAATTTTTTTGATGGTTCTTTGGAAGTCGGTATGCCTAATTAGACTTATTTGACAAAAAATACATAGAACAAAATTTGAGTTAAAAAGACATAAATGCTCATTTTAGGGTCATTTAATTTAAAATCTCTTATTTTTAATGCACCTTGATTCATGTATGTTTGTTAATACATATAAATAAGTATTTAATGCACCTTTGATTCATGTGTATTTGTTAATAAATGTATATATATATATATATATATATATATATATATATATATATATATATATATATATATATTTGTTGTTAAATCTCTTATTTAAATTTTGAATTATCTTTAATGCACCTTGATTCATGCGTATTTTTTTTTTAAAAGTGATTTTGTTTTCAAATTATATTTAATGCACCTCGATTCAAGCATTTTTGTTTTTGGAAAATAGTTTTATTTTTAAATTAACTTAATATCCGAATAATGTAATAGTATAACAATAACAATGTAACAAAGACAGTGTAACAAATACACTGTTCAATAATTTTGTGTATATGGTAACAAATTCAAAACGGAGATGGACTATTTTGAATAAAATTATATAAAACTATATGTTTGACAAAATGTAATAGTACAATATTTTATGTAAATAGCTTGTTACATTATTATTGTTATACTGTTACATTGTTAGTGTTACACTTTTATTGTTACACTATTACACTTTATATTATTACACTATTCGGATATTAAATTAATTTAAAAATAAAACCATTTTCTAAAAAAAAAATGCATGAATCAAGGTGCATTAAAAGATAATTCAAAATTTAGATAAGAGATTTAACAACAAGTATATACATATATACATACATAAGTATATATATATATATATATATATATATATATATATATATATATATATATATATGGAGGGCAGAAATGTCACAATAAAAATAGATAAATTCAAATAATGTAATTGGATACAAATAAGTATCAAAATTAAGTATTTAATAACCCTACATTTTTTAGTGTGTATTTTTTGCCAAATAAGTCTAATTTGGTGTACTCCTTATAATTTACCTTTTTTTGATTTATGACAAATTTGGAAGTCGATACAAAAATTTGGACTTAATTAAGCTAAACTATGTTAATGAAACTTATTTGACTCTAAGTGCAATTTTTTTGAAAAAATGACTAAAACATCATTTATTACTCTATTTTTTCTCTCTATTACTCTCTTCATCTCTCTTCACAAAGTACTCTCTATTTTATCTCTCTTTCTCTTCGTTACTCTCTTTGTCTATTCCCTATTTTTCTCTCTCATTGATAATTTTTTTTTTCAAATATGTAAAGATTTGATTTAATTTTTTCATTTCTCTTCCCTATTTTTTCTCTCTCTCACTCTCGCTTCCTTATTTTCTCTCACCGTAATTCTTTCTCTCCTTATATTTTTTTTCTCTCTCTCTTTCTACCAATCAGTTATATCAATTAGTTACAATTACCCTATAATACATCAAACAATTACTCATATATTCTAATAAAACTAAACAGTTAGACTAAATAATTACACGAAATTACATTACCAACTTAATTTGTCATTCAATTATTTACATAAATTAAAGAGTTACATCATTTAGCATCACGACATGGTTACACCAATTATATACACCAAATTGGGTTTATCATTACACAAAAAAATTTACTGTTATACCAAAATTTTATGTATATAATTGGTGTAACCATGACGTGATATTAAATACTGCAACTCTTTAATTTATATAAATAACTTAATAATAAATTGAGTTGGTGTCATAATTTTGTATAATTGTTTGATGTAATTATTTAGTTTATTAGAACACATGAGTAATTATTTGGTATATTATAGAGCAATTGTAACTAATTGGTGTAACTGATTAATATAATTGTGTTATTATAATATTGATATGAAGACAGAGAGAGAGAAAAAATGAGAGAGTAACGATGAGAGAAATAGGGGAGAGAGATATGAAAAAAAAATTAAATCAAATCTATACATATTTGAAGATAAAATAAATTATCAATGGGAGATGAAGAGAGAAAATAGGGAAAAGAGATATGAAAAAATTAAATTAAATCTTTACATATTTAAAAAAAAAAAAATCAATGGGAGATAAAGAAAGAAAATAAGGGAAAGATAGAGAGGGAAGATAGAGAGAGTAAAAGAGAGAGATGGAGAGAAAAAAGGGGGAGATAGTGAGAGACTAATGGAGAGAGAGATGGAGAGAAAATAGAGGAGAGAGAATGAAAGAATAAAAATTATGCATAATTTAAGAAATGATAAGTAAGTAAAAGAATTCAAATGTGATTTGAATTATGTAGCTAATTACAAGATGTTTTATTAAAATTGAACTTTATAGAGTAAAATATTTACCCATACACTTACTCTCAAATCTAAAAAAATGTATCCACCAAAAAAAAAAAAAAACTCTTGATTTTTCCATATTTGATATACTTTTAAGGGTTAATTGTAGGCCGGTCACTTTTTATAGACTTATTTGAATTTAAGTACACTCAAAAAATTTATTTGGGGATAAGTCTATTTTGGTCTATATAATCCAAAATATCTTCAATAATTATATTTAATCAAAACTTGTTTTAAAAAAATAACAACTCCTAAATTGGAAATTTTATTAGTATTAGCAACTCATAACTTGAAAATTATGCTAACACTAAAATTTTGTTTCTATCATATATATAAACATCAAACAGTAATCTGATCAACAAAAAAATAGTAACATTAAATAATAACACGCTTAATAAAAAACTTGATTAAAAATTTAATCATTATAATAAAGTGACACCCTCACAACAAAATAAATACTCACATAAGGTGTTATTCTATTGCAATAATTAAATTTTTAATTAAGTTTTTTATTGAGTATGTTATTGTTTGATGTTACAATTTTTTTTTGTTGAACATGTTATTATTTGATGTTACTATTTTTTTGTTAATTTATATTATTGTTTAATATTAATATCTATATAATAAAACAAGAGTGTGTTTGAATTTTATCTCAGTCATATTTTTCCCTTTAAAATCACCACCAATCATTTTCCTCACATATCATCCTTTTGTCAGACTCAAAGGTCAAGTCACATAATTCATTTCTATCACATATTTAATCATTTATATATTTCCTCCTTAAAAATATCACACAACTCATTTTTATCATATATTTAATTATTTAATATTTAATTAATTTATAATTAATATATTTTTAAAAAAATTAATATAATAAAATCAATTTTTTAAATGCTCAAATTTTATATTTTATCGTGCCTCCAGACACGAATTATGACCAGTAACTCAATGGCTCACATGAGTTTGTTCTTGTATATAGATATGATAGAAAAATAATTTTAATATTAGCACAATTTTCAAGTTAGGAGTTGTTACATTTGAAAATATTAAAACTAATAATAATAGACAATATTTATGGTAAGGGTAATTATAGAATACATTTAAAAAAAATATTTGAAATGTTTTAAAATATATACTTATTGACAATTATTTGATGAAAAAAAAGATTTAATAGAATATAAGTTTGAAAATGTTACTTAAAATCAAATAACTTCCGCAAAAAATATCCAAAACCAATTCCCCGTATTTGTAAGTTCTTATCATTTTGGCCACCTATGGCATAACTGGGCCATTGCTAGAAAACCATAGCCCATGGCCCTATCAGTCGGGCTATCGGTCCACCAAATGGCGGGGTGGGTCTCGTCGTGAACTAAAATTACAATTTGACAAGTATTCCCATGAATGTTAAAATATGATACGATTTAATTACATGATATAAAATTAGAGGATTTTAATATTTTTTTAAAATTAATTACGAATAGGTGAAATAAATATATTATTGAGTTGATTTGATTCGAGTTGAATTGTACTATTGCGATCAATCTTAAAACTTCATAAAATTTTAAAAAGAATGGTTAGAGTTGTTTTTCTTTTTCTCTTGAAAGTTATGTGAGTAATTTACGTGACTGTTTAATGCAGTTTAAAGAAAAATGTGAAGAATTAGATCAATAGGTTTTACTAACTTCTACTAATCATCAAATGGCTGTCAATAATATACCATATCGTTTAGCATCCAATACTTGATAAGAATTCTATGAGTAATGTTTATAATTCTATATCGATTTTTTTTTATCTAAGTTGATGTATAATATTTACCATCATTAAATAAAAACAGAATTCTTTTTTTTTTTTTTTTTTTTATGGTGATAAATCTATCATATCATTTTAGATAAAAGATTTTTTTTTTTTTTGTTACTTAAAAAAGGGGTAGGGGTAAGGAAGAGCGTCTAGCGACTACCTTGATAGGCTTTTATCGGTGAAATTATAAGGTCTCTGACCACGCCTAGAACACTTTTTGAGACCAGACTTAGGTAAGCTAGTATAACGGCCAACCACCAACCTCCGATGACTAACCCCCAATGAATGTACCAAGATTCTAACTCACAACCTCAATGTGATGGAGTAAGGCCGATCCCCCACTAGACCACCCTACTTGGAGAATCAAATTCATTTATATATTTTTTTCATTTTTAAGATTTAATATAAATGAATTTGATAATCCTATTATTACTGAACTTTTAGTACACATTATACCGGTTGGAATGTCAAGAATCACTTTGGAAAAAGATAAATTGTTCCATTCTTGTGGTCCACAGAGATTTATGGGTAAGGAGAGAACTTTATTTTTTATTTTTTAAATCGTAAGTATTAGTCTTTTAGGACTCGTGCATGTAACACGGACTTTGAATACCCATAAATACCCGCAAATCAAGTGGATACGTCAAAAAAGGAAAAAAAAAAAAAAAAAAACTTTTTCCCCCAAGATTGAAATCAGAAAAGGAAGGAATGTTGAAAGGAACAATGAGGTCATAGTGGATCCATTACTTTATGGCCATCTGCTAAGGCATCTGATTCCTTCTTCATTACTTTATGAACTCCAAAAGATGATAAATTGCAAGTTGCAACGGTCGGACAATGACCAAAATCAAATGCAATTCCACACGAGCTTTTTAAAGCCAAAACGTGTCAAATGCGAGTTTGTTTCTTTTGACTTAAAAACAATCGTATCAAAGAATTGATGGTTAAAATTCGATCATTTCATAAAGTGGATTTCATGGTTTTCTGTTGAATATATGGGTAAGATAGTCGGACTTTAGTGAATATTATCAGTGTTTCGGAGTCCAAGTCCAGAAGATGTCGGCACTATCGCAATCAAATTTTTGATTATCCATAAATTTTGATCATATCCTATCTTATTCGACCCTATAGATCGGTTACCCAAAAAAATTGAGTAGGCTAACTGAAGATTTTTTGATATTATGAAAAAAATTGAATAAGAATGCAGAATACTTAGAAAATTTTTGAATTTTTACCTTATCCTAATCCCTAAAAATTAAAATCCAAAAATTTAGAAACCTTAATGTTTTATTTATGTTTATGACTTTCTTATATATAATGTATTGATATTTGTGACTTTCTTATTGTGTTTTATTGTAATTATTTATGTATTATTGAATTTATTGTATTTTTTTTAGTGTTATTAGTTTATTGTGTTAGTTAATTAGTACATATTACTTAATTAAATTGTTCAAATAATCCAAAAATTAATATCTAAAAATATGTTTTCACCTGATTTTCTATTCAATTGTTTTGGACAGAATTTGGGTAAGAATAGTACACTTGATTAAGTAAGGTAGGCCAAGAAAAAAAATTTCACAAAATATTGGGTAGGTAGATGAAATACTATAATTCCTACCCGTAGGGTAAGATGAACACGAAATCACAACTATTGACACCAAAAAAAAAAAAAAAAGACACAGAACAAAACACAAAAAATACTAGTTTATTTAGAAATGTAATTAACTATAGTTGTTAAAGAGTGGACATCATGTAACATGAGAACTTTGTTGTTGATTTAATAATTATAATACTAAATTATGTGCATAAATTAGAGCATGGCGAAGTTATTGAAGAAGATCAGGGTCGCAGTATTTATTTCACTAGAGATTGAGTCTCTCTACCAGGTGTTTTGCCCGTAATTTTAGAACTTATTCATGTTAATTCTCTATACCAAATTGTTATGGAACAAAAAATACTGGAAAGAAAAGACTAGATACGAAATGAAAATTTTCCTCTCACTCTATGATACTTGAATGGGATAAAATGCGGATCAAACCCTAGCTAGGATTTTGTGGTTCTTATTAATTGTATTGAAATTCCATCTCGGTGGGAACTTACTTGACAAAAAATTTAATCGCGGTTCTTGTATTTTTGAACATGAAGAGATAAGGAAGTCATTGTACTTGTCGGAAATACTAGGCCAATTAAAAACACAATTACTTTTTTTTTTTTTGATTTAACGGTTAGGGATGTCTAAATTGGCGTATGTGCACCTTGCAGGGGTGGGCCAACAACATTTATGGTTTAAAGCAATAACGGTCAATGATACTTTTATATTTTTTTAATAATAATTTAAAATTTTAATTTAAAATCTATTGCTTTTACTTTTTGATGAGATTCGAAATTGCAAATTTTTTTTATTTAAATTTTGCTAGTATATATTTTTAATTGATAATATGACTTTTGATTATAAATATTTATAGGAATAAAATTAATTACTTCATGTTCTTTTTATTTGTTTTATATGTTCTTTATAAAAACTGTGAAATTAAATGATTGACTTTATTATAAATAAATTCATTGTTATGTTTCTTTTAAATTATTTTACTATCTTCGAATTTTATTTATTTATCCATGCAACTTTCACCTAAATTTTTGTTTTATTTTATTTGTTACGAATAAGAACTTTATCAAAATATTTTTTTTAATGAGAATGAATAGTTTAATTGGTGTTTTGAGTTCAAATGAGAAAAAAAAAAACAAGTTTAAAAGAAGAAAAAAATGTGGCTAGTTTGATTTTTTTTTTTTTTGACTAAAGAGAGATATTTATTACACTTCTTTCGGTTGGAGAAAGATATAAATTTTGTCAGTATTTTTTTTATTAATCTTTTTTGTTCTTTAATAAATGTAATTGTGTAAGGAGGTCTAAACTTTTGAGCCCAAATTTTTAATTTTTTTTGTTGATATTCTCTTTTAAAAATTAATTTTTTTGGCAATATTGTAGTAAAATTAATTTTTTAACTTATATTATATTATTGATCTTTAAATTTAGGGCTTTTTTTTCTTATATAAGGCCTAAAACCCCAATTTTTATTTTTATACAATAGGCCCGGGCTTGACACCTCGATTAATCTTTTCTTCAGTCTCGTCAAAGGTCATGTTAAAATTAAAGTATTCATGACAGATAAATTTTTCATTATTTAACCTTAATAAATTGTCAAAATTCGAATTTAAAAAATCTAAAGTTTCCAACTCGGCCTACTACGTTAGGGTTATTAAAGGCTAAATTACATAGTTGTTTCATACATGGTCGCGAAATATAATGCAACTGATATTTCAAATTCCCACACGTGAGATTCAAGTGATTTGATATTATTTTTGGGGGTAAATTATATTTTATCCCTTCGAACTATTACCTTTATATCTTCAATTATAAAATTTTATACATTACATCTTAAAGTATCAATTTTATTTTATATCATTTTAATTAATAACGAATGTCAATTTTTTAACCGTAAATGCATATGTGAGTGATTTGTTGTATATGTGAGTGATTTGTATTATTAATAAACAACTGCGTATTGTACATGTGCAAGTCAAAATCAAGAAATACCTATCCATAATTTTATCTTTTTTAAACTCTAAATTTTCTTCTTATGCCTGATCTTCTTTTTCTTCTCAGTAATTATTTGATTACAAAATAAGTAAAATAAAGTAGTATGAGACACTTGATGGGAAACTCTTTGAGGTTTACCTCCCTCATTTGAAAGATTTTTAACTTTGTTGTTATCTATTGTAGTGATATGAAATAAAATTAATACTGTAAAGTATAATGTGTGAAATTTTATAGTTAAGGGCTCAAAATGAAATAATGGTAATAGTTCCGAGGCATAAAGTGTAATTTACTCTATTTCTCGTCAACCTTATCAATGTAGAATCATTGATCCAACGGCTGTGGGAGGCGCAAGAGTTTGTGAAGGACTGAATCATTTACAGGACTAAATACCTATATTCTTGTCGTCGTCCTCAGGGTCTTCTTCTTGCTTCCTCAACCTTCTTAGAGAGAGAGAGAGAGAGATGTCGGACGAAGAGCACCACTTTGAGTCGAAGGCCGACGCTGGGGCCTCCAAGACCTACCCGCAGCAGGCTGGTACTGTACGCAAGAATGGCTACATAGTCATCAAGGGCAGGCCATGCAAGGTCTCTCTCTCAACCGATATGAATATTTGTGGGTGTTGTTGAATTTTCTTGTCAATTTTATCCTTTTGTTGTTTGATCCTTTTTTCTTTGTGTTTGGGCGTTGATTTTGAACTGGGTTTGTGTTTAATTTACCAGATCTTGCTTGCTATGTTTTCAATTCATGATATATATGCTTATATGTGTGTGTTTTTTTTCATGGTAAACTTTAAATTATTTCATGTTAAACCTGTTGTTGGGTGGTTTTTGCTACTTTTTTACAATTGAGTGAGTTTCAGTGACTAGCTCGAATAATTTATACGTAGTTGGGTATACATAAGTATATATAGTGGACTTGCCGTAGGTGGATGCTTGACGTTGATTTTATGTATTCTATTGGATTTTTTTATGTGTGTTACTGTTTACATGTTGAATTTCTGGTTTTGAATTTTTTCCACAATAATGTTTTTTTATAGTCAGTCACAGATGTATAACTGTTATCTTCTTACGTGTGCGTGTGTGTGTATGTATATACATCCATGATCCATACATACATACATACACCATTCATCTGGTTTTATCATCCAGAAGGATTTTTACATCCCTTTTCTATAGGTTTTGTTGGAACAGTGGGACTTACCATCAACTCTGTGTTAGTCATGACCATTCATCTGGTTTTATCATCCAGAAGGATTTTTACATCCCTTTTCTATAGGTTTTGTTGGGACAGTGGGACTTAACATCAACTCTGTGTTAGTTATGCGACTTAAGTTGGATTACTCAGATTTGTTGGCTCTTGAGATTTTTGTACTTTTTGTGCAATTGCAGCCAAACGGGCTCACATTTTTTGGATTTCCTTGCCTTTTTGCCCCTTTATTTTGAGAAGATAATCCATTCTTGTGGGTGGTAGCGGTTGAATTCCCGAGACAGATTGAGAATTTGAAAGTTCTCAATCCTACTACAGCATACATGTTGGTCCCACTCCAAAACCAAATTTGTAAGGGTTGAAGGTTTTTTGAATTAAAGTCCACTTTAACTATTCCGATGATGTGTAGTTCTAGCTACTGTGGTGATATTTATCGACTTTTTCTTTTCCCCCATCTCCTCCATCACATCATCATGTGATATAGGCAAAAGTATGCAACTGGGTAGGTGGCGAAGTCTTTGATACTATTGGTACAGCAAGCTACAATTTCATTTCAAATCCATTCAATTTGAGGTGGTATGTTGTTATTTGCAGTTTGGAATCACTATCAAGTTTTAAAAAAATGAGGATATGAGAGTTTTTTCAATTAGATGGTTTTGTACTCGTCTTTCACAGTTTATTAAATATCAATATTGCACTCAAAACATACCTACCGCATTTCTGTTGAGCAACCTAGGATGAGCAATCTAGGATTAGAAGGATAACACTCAATGGCACACTGTATTCCTACTCTAGTCCCATACTTTACATGAAGAAATTGTTCAAGACTATGTTACTATACTTCTTGAGAAGCAAAGGATGAATTTATTTGAGGACACTAGGTTTCCTCTAATTGTAATCCGTTATGAGACATTTTTATAGTAACAGTCCTGTCTCTACACTTCTTACCTGGCTTACATTAGCACAGCTTCCAGGGAAAATTGCTCTCTTTGAGCTCTGCCTCTATGTGATGAATGGAAAATAATGGGCATACTTGTTCTGTCCAGCTGGCATTTCATTTTCACATCCCAAAATACATTATGTCACTATATTCTTGGTTCATTTTGACTTTGATTTTTTTTCAGTGTAGAATACTTTTTCCTTTACCTTATATCATGTAGTAATATGTTATCTTCAAAATTTTAAGTTGGTGGAACCTTTTTTTTTGGGGGGACTTTGCAGGTTGTAGAGGTCTCCACCTCAAAAACTGGCAAGCATGGGCATGCAAAGTGCCACTTTGTGGCAATTGATATATTTAATGGCAAGAAGCTTGAAGATATTGTTCCTTCATCCCACAACTGTGATGTATAGCTTTGTTTTCTTTTCAGAATTCATTCCTCTTTTATTTCTTTTACGTTTACTTATTGCATGCACCTTGCATGACCAACTATACTGTACTGTTATATTGAATTTGATTGAGTTGTTGGTTATCAGGTGCCCCATGTTAATCGTACTGACTACCAGCTGATTGATATCTCCGAAGATGGTTTTGTAAGTATCTTTTACCACTTCATGCTAAAACTGGCTTCACAGCTATGTGGTCCCTTGTTAAATCTTAAAAGAGCAACATTTGGAAATAATGATAGTGTAGAGTTGCGAAAGGTGCCAGTATTTGATTCTTTTCTTAATGGGACTTCTTTACATCATTTCTTTTAGTGGAGGATCTGTTCATCTATTTCTTGTGCATGCTTCTTCCATTCTTTGTGATGTGAAGCAAAGCAACAACTTTTGCTTGATGTTGCAAATAGCCCGTGTTTGAATGGACAGAGAACTAAACTGTCCTGGGGATAAGCTAAAATAGCTGGGCGGAAATTGTATCTTGCAAATTTTTTATGGGAACTGTCATGCATTCTCCCCTCAGATTCATAAGTCTTATGCTATTTATAGGGAGCCTAGTTGAAATTGTTACTGTGAATCTCAGCATCATCAATAATGGTATTGTCATTTCTTGTAGGTGAGTCTTCTGACCGAAAATGGAAGCACCAAAGATGACCTGAGGCTTCCCACCGATGAAAATATGCTCAGCCAGGTATGTCAATTAGTGACAATTTATATGCCTACGCCTACAGTACTTCGATATTTACCTATTAGAGTTTGTCATACCTTGCTAGATTATGTGTTTATTGTTAATTAATGTAGATTTCTCTGTTAATTTTTGACTTGTATATAGATTAAAGATGGGTTTGCAGAAGGCAAGGACCTTGTGCTGTCGGTCATGTCAGCAATGGGAGAAGAGCAGATCTGTGCCCTCAAGGACATTGGTCCTAAAAACTAAATTTGTGGCCATAGCAGTAGCAGTAGCAGTAGCAGTAGCAATAGCTACAGCTAAGCAAATGTGTTCTGACAGATTTTTATATCTCTAAAATATTCGTGTGCAAAAAACTTTATTAAGATGGTACTTAGCTGTGTAACTGGAACTGATTCCCGGGTTTGTGCTTGTAGGTGGATAGAAAACAAGTGCCATTATCTCCTTCAGGGAGAGGCCTTGCTTTTGGGTGGGACGTAATTGATGCTATACATAAGTTGCATTCGAATATCATGTTATATATGTGTGACTATGCTTAAGCTCATTGATGCAACACTTCTCCATTTTTGGATTTCTGTGTCTTATTATAAGCCCTTGTGGTTTTATTTTAGAATCTTGGGTTCGAGTTACCAAATAGTCTCTTCGTGATAAGATATCTAACTTCCTAAAGGCCTCATAATGCGGAGTTTTTATGCAATGGGGCAACTTTTTAGTGGAGTCATTTCTGGCACATCACAGTTGTCTATGTTATACTTTAGGTTCATTGCTAAAGCCCACGTTGTCATCAATTGTAAAATACTCAGACTAATTCTCCATGATTAAAGTGCTTGACTTTTTAAATCAGATTTGCAGTCTTTCATTTGGGCTTGGGGGTGGGTGTTGGTAGGCATGTCAATGTATCACATTGTGATCTAAATTTAATTTGATTTGAATCTGATTAATCAGATATGAATAATATTTTGTTATCGATAATCTGAATTCGATATTTTATATGTTATATATTCGAATTTGGATATAATTATATTTAATCTAATTATGTTTTGATTCGGATTATTTATATATTTTTATATAAATATTAAAAAAAATTAATTAAAATTTAGATATAATTTGCTCACCTTTAGACAATTAAGTGTGCGTATGGTAATGTTTTCGTCTTTATGTTTTTTTTGTGATAAAAATTAAAAATTAAAAATATATTTGATAGTGATTTAAACTTAAAAAATTATGAAAACAAAAATAAAAAACATATTTGATATTAAACCAAAAAATCACCACCCAAAACCATCACCCAACCCCAATAACCACACAAAACCACCATCCAACCCCACTGACCACCCAATCGAAACCCACTCCCAACCCCACTGACCACCCAACCGAAACCCACCCCCACCACTGAAAACGACGACCACCACCACCCCCACCACCACTGAAATCACAACCATCTATGTAGATCTATGTCTATATATGAATATATATATATACATAGATCTATGTATAGATCTAAGGAAAAACACTGACCACGAGGGAGAGAGACGAAGTGGGTATTGTCTTCGTCTTCCGATTTCATCTTCCATTTCTGAGCGTTTTTGGCTTCGGTTTCAGAAGGGAGAATCGAGCGGCAGAGACGAAACCCACTTCGGTTTCAGAAGAGAAAGCATCGAGAGGGAGAGACAGACTGAGAGACGGAGGAAAAAAAAAACAGGAAAAGGGCTTTTATAGTTCCAACAAAAAGTCTTAAATTTTGGTGTTAACAAGATTCGATGGCCAGACTTCATTAACCGAGGCGCGCGTGTTTTTTTTTTTTTTTTTTTGATGTTTTCAAAAACATCATTATTTTGGCATTATTTTTAAAACAAGGAGTAAAAACAAAACAAAAACACGTCTCAAACACCTTAATGTTTTTTTTTTTTAGCAAAAAATGAAAAAAAAAAACAAAAAAAAAACACAAACCCACGGTTACCGGACACTACTTTAAGTTATTTGAATTTTTGGATTGATAATAGATTTGGATATAAAATAAAAAAATAGAATTCGTCAAAATATTTGATTGAATTCAAATTGGATGTTTGAAGTTGAATTTGGATTTGAATCAGTTAGAATTTGATTCAAGCTAAATCCGTTGATAGGCCTAGGTGTTAAAAAATAGGGGATAGTGACAAGTAAACTGGTAGAAGTCTGTAAATGAATTGAATTTTTATTTGAATTTGATTTGAACTCGAATCTGATTACTCAGATATGAATTGATATTTTTTTTTATCAATTATTTGAATTAAATTAGATATCTTATATTTCATAGATTTGGATTTGGATATATCTTATATCTGATCCAACTATGATTTGAACAAAAATATTTATATATTTTTGCATAAATATTAAAAAATTAAGTAATTATTTGAAGAAATTTACTTTAATTTTTGATAATAATTTATTAAAATTTAGTTAAATTAAGTTATTTATGTTTGGATAAAATTTCACTTATTTGATGACCTTAAAGATTGTATTTAAGTTTTTATACGCCATAATATTACGATGCGGGCACTTGTTGGGGTTCGGGAATCAATCTTCTCCAAATAGGAATAAGATTTTCTCCTACTTCCCATTTTCTTTGGTTGGTGAACTATAAAAATAAAGAATTTACTGGTTAGTATGGAAGTTTTCAAATCAGGAAATGAGGAATTTTGGGGGTGTAGGATCTGTGGGAAGCTTTATCTGGAGGGATGTTGTGCTTATTCGGAGTGAGACATTTTCAAATACATTTTTACTCAATGCACTCAAAAGTCGATCACTTTTAATAAATTCAAATATAATTCACTATTTATAAGCGAATATTTTGCCTATACGTAATGGGTAATACTGTAATATATCTTTAATTGAAACTGAGAAAAAAATATCTATACAATATAATTTAAATCTAAAAAAATAAACTAAATGACATATTTTTTGCGGTTGAAATCTCTTTAAATTTTACTTTAAAGTTAATTTAACGGTTAATAGTAATAACTCAAATTTAATAGGGAAAATAGATCACTTGACCCTAAAGGTGTGTTTGAGATGACTTTTTAAAAATACTTCTAGGACTTATAATTTTTCATAAGTACTTTGAAAAAAAAAATGTAGAATTTGGAACCAGCCTACCACCACCTCCATCGCCCCACCACTATCACCATTACCACCACCACCGTCGCCACTATCACCACTGTCGCCATCCCACCACCCCCATAGTCCCACCATCAACACAGCTGCCGCCACCCCACTACCCACCACCACCGCCATCATCATCACCGTTGCACCATTACCTTTGCCACAACAACCACCATCACCATTATCATACACCCCCCACCATACCTACCACCACTACGACTAACGCCATTTGCCACCATCCATAGGCCATAACATTGTTGCCTAGAAGTACCAGTCGCCGCCCACCACAACAACCCACCACCGTCACCCATCACCACCCACACTCACACCCACCACCACATGCCACAGCAATAACAACCATCACCACCTTACCACCACTATCACTGTCCCACGATCTCCCCTACCACCATTACTATGGCATCCCTAAATCAAGAGTCTTTTGTCATCCCGTTGATCATCCATTAACTCCCAAAAATACCCATAAATGCTACATAACCCGACACCACGGTACAACATCCCCTTTATTGGGATCACAAAAAAACACAAAATGTGGGCAGAGTTTTTCTTGTACCGGGCACTCCCGAACGCACAACTTGTGTATACTTCGATCGCATGACTTATTCGAGATCCAATATACAACAATTTATTCTCATTTAATGTCCATTTTTATCATTTGAACAAAAGAATCCAAGATCCACAAGCCTAGCAAAACATTTCAAAATTTGAAATTTTAATAAAACCTATTGGTAGAAGATGTGCAAGATCTACCAGTAGAAAAGGCTACTAGAAAAGTTCTACCGCAAAACTTGAAGTTCTACCAGTAAGTTTAACCTACTGGACAAGTTCTACCAGTAGAAGAGCTCGTCGTTCTACCGGTATGTCTTACCAGTTTTCGCTGGTTGTCGTCCTTTTACAATTCCAATTCATTCCAACCTTGTACAACACCAACCCAACTCATATAATATGACATTTTAAACAAAATACAGTTCATATGAGTTCAATACAATCATTTACATACAATTAATGTCCCAAAAACTAGATAACATCTTAATTTTACATAAATATGATTTAAGGCCACATTTCGGCTCTTTTCATCAATAAGGGCTCAAGTAAGAGCCATTTATCGGCGCATATTCAGTACCTGAAATATTGTCCTCATAAAGGGTGAGTCACGGTCAATAATGTATCTCCTAAAGAGATTATTCCCCAACTTAGATGCATATGAAATGTTTACATATAAATTCAACAATCAACAATCATCCATTCAAGAATATGCAATTCAATGATAGATCCTTTATGCCATGTCATGTTATGAGATGAGACTCACACATGTAACTTAACTTGAGCCTTTATCGGCTCCGATCACCCATGCAATGCCATGACTATAAAATCAGATATTCCAAGTCCTGTCATTGATATTGCATATCCAACGGTCTTTTTGTAAAAAAATAAATCATGTGTCTTTGTTGGATAGCAGAATTTTGGTGTCTCACCTTCGGTTCTGCACAACAATAAAATTTTTTGGACTCCCACCGGTAGAAGTGTATAAAGTAGTAACCGGATCTTGCATCCGAGGGAATGTCTAGTTCTTCTTATTATACCCAACACAAGTTTTTTTTTTATACAACCATGTGACTCTGTCAAACTTTTTCAATCTTTGTTTCGACTGTATCGAGCCTACTTATCAACCACCAAGAATAGTGTTTGATCTATTAACATGCACACACCCACACTCATGTTAATGCCCACAAATGTGATGTTTTCCTTACATATGCAAATATATATATACAATTGCAAATCTCAACATGTTTAATATGTTATAAGCATAATATGAATAATTTCAATCTCCAATTAACATACTTCATGGTCAATTATATCAATAGCATATAACGAACATCAATAATTTTAATGTCAATATATCACATGCATACACCAACATTTTCCAACATCAATTTCTAAACATGTTACAACATAGTCAATTTAATTAACACACTTAATCCACATAGAAATTTAATCAAATACATTCAAGGTACCAAATCATGTAATCACATAAAATACTCTTATCACATAGCTGAAGAAATCACCTCAAGTAATTTCTACATACTCAATTCAAACTAAAATTGATTTTACCAATTTCTATATCCATTTTTCACATTTTAACAACAATATGTAAGTGCTAAACATGAGATTACTTCTCTAACACCCTACCCATTTTCGTATTTCAAACATAAGTTGGAAATAAACCTAGTTAGGATGAAAATTCTACCTCTTGAAACGTAAAACAACGGTAGGAAGCTTCAAGAATCCCAAATCACGCCCCCTTGATTTCTCCAAGCTCCATTTTTTGGAACTTCACCCAAACCCGTGCTTTTTGGTATGGTTGCGTAGTCCTCGATGAGAAGAACAACTTTTGTTCTTCGCTTGAGTCGATTCGAACGACGTAGAGACGTAGATCGTAGAGAGAATGTGTGAAACCCTTGCTCTTTCTCTCTCTTCTTCCTTTTTTTTTTAATGGGTAAAAGGCTGAGAATTGGGAAAGAAAATTTGATTTTCTTCCCCTTTTATACTCTCCAATTACTTGGTCCTCATTTCGCCACACGTTTTTCTTTTTCGGGTCTAATTTTGACTCGAATTGATTAAATTTCGTCATTTGAGCTCTAAAAAAATTCAAGTT